ATTTTATGATGCCAGGTTGTCAAAAATATTCTTATTCTTAGGTTTCTGCACATTCCTCAGGAGTGTTTAAGGGTCACTCTCCAAGGTAGGATAATGCACAGGCCTCAGATACGACTCAGGCCCCTTTTGCTCATGCACCTAGTGTCACACAGTGCATGAATTTCAGTGTTTCTAGCCCAGTAATTATGATTGAATAACAACATCAAACTAGTTAAAGACAGTAGAAAAATCTAAAAGTTTTTGTAAAAATCTTCACTGAAGAATCCAAACAAAGAAGCAAGCAAATCACTGACCACTTCAATTTGAAAACTCTCACCCAGCCAAAGGCTTGACTGAAATCTGGAAGGAAACATTGTTTTCTGAGGAAAAGTAAAACAAGTTCTCAAAAGAAAACTGGCATTTCCCCTGAAATTTTTCAATTTTAAAATATATTTTTTTTAAACAACCTTACCCCTGATTATGCTATATATTCTTGAGCACCATCTACTGGTGCTGCATTATTAATTATTTATGAAAATACAAATCACTTCTCTAGTAAAATTCAAATATAATCATATAATCTTTCAAAAGGTACCTAAAATTGAGAAGGCAGAATTTAACCTATTATTTATTGAATTAATATTTTCTCTTGACAACAGAAAAAAAATGCTGTTGGTGAAATTGATTTAGAATCTGAACTAAGTAGAGAAATGCAGTATTTTTAATGGTTTGTAATGTACTAGGTCAGTAAATGTATACAAGGTAATGAAATTATTTCCAATTTACACCTGTCCCAACCTGTTAGTACCTGTTAGACTAACAAAAAAATTCCCTTCTTTTCATATTCACGTATTTATTTAATTTCATACAGCTGTGATGTGGCCAGCATCTTCCATTTTATTTCTTCACATCTGACCAAATTAACTAGCATTTCTCTTGAGATGGTCACACCAGCTTGGGATTTAAAATTTGCCCTGACTTACAGCAAGAAAACACTGCTCTTACAGAAATTTGGTGCTATACTTCAGAATCAGTGATGCAGTTACAGAGTCTATGCTTGCCAAATGGGATTTTGAAGGGCCTTGCCTGTCTGAGTAAAGTCGCATTTGGGGAACAGACCAGTGCCACTTCTATGAAGCTTAAGGTGCTTAGTAAAAATACCACTTGACCCTTACCTGCAAATTGACTCTAAAACCATGGTTTCTATTATTGTGCATACGGTGACATATCTAAGTGTCTGTAACTCTGTAGTCAATTAAACACTATGATAATAATGGAGAATGAAGTATGAAAGTCTTTGCTGAAAAACCTTTTTATGATTTCTTTTGTTTGTTTAATGTGTGACTTCTGTGTTGAAGATAGATTGTCTTATTTGCACAAAGGAATGCGTCTTATTTGCACAAAGGAATGACAACTGCAGGCTACAACAGTGACCTTGACTTGGAAAAAGTCCCTCTAAGGGTGACAGGTGATTGAGTGAGAGAACAGTCCACTCCTCAAAGCCACTTGCTTTAAACTGTGGACTCCCTCTAGAAGTTGTACAAAAAATGTCAGTGAATTGTAATTCCAGTTACAATTGTGTTGAATTTGGTTCTGTGTTCACAAAAAACAGACAGAAATCATCAACCTACTCTGACCAGAAGAACCAAAAATCTCAAAGTGCTGCTGTAGATTGGAAGGGGGAGGGGGAAGGTGGGGAAGGCAACTAAACAAACCCTTTAATTAATTCCATCCAACATATTAAATCAGGTAAGCCTCATTTTTCTCACTAACACAGAAATTACTTAAAAATATTACTCTCCTTCATCTTTCCTAGTCTGGATAAAGCCCAACCTTGACTAAACAATCACATCAAGTCTAGAAAGCAGCACTATAAATTTAGCATTCACTATGTTGTGCCTATCCCTGCCACACTACTACTAAGTGACATAACACTTCTTTCAGTGCCTTGATACTTTCTTTGTAGTGCAGATGGCACCACATGTCCCATGCAGTTCTAAGGAGCCTCCCATGAAACAGTGTGGAATTGTATTAATACCTTATTCCTAGGCTTTAACAGAAGTACTTCAACAATTTGGATCTACTCGGTATTTCTGAATGATGTGTATAGATTGACTTTACATACCTTCAGACTGCAGTTTAGCACTAAATTTACACACAAAATAGCACCATCCCAAACACAAATTATCAATATGACCAATTTAAACAAATGTACTGTTACATTTCTATTTATTTATATTTTGCGGACTTAAAACATGTCCTGACTCTCAGTCCTGGACTATCAAAATTACAGGTTTTCGTTATTTCAAATGCAGCTGCATGACATATAGCATACAATTTCTGAAGTTCGCCTCAGTTCAAGTAGAAAGGGACCTAGAAGTGGATCATGGGTATTCGTGTACTTAAAAATGTTATAAAGTTATTTCCAGTGATTAAACCTCACATTGTTCAAGTCTTTAACTGCAAGAAATCTTGACCAGAAATTTGTGAAGTGCTCTCTGCTGCCATCGCATCCCTGTTTCTCAGCTCCCATAGTTAACCTAAGGATGAGTTGCGCAACTTGCATTATTTCCTAATGTTTGTAGACAAGGGGCCAAGGAGTCTTCCCTCACGAATTCCCTCCAGCATTGCCAGCATTAGAAAAGTGGAAGTTAATCACTGGCTTGGGATAATTAGGAGATTGCTAAAGACAATGGTTTACCATACATTGTATATTGATTAATTTTTATTTCCACTCACAATTAAAGGAGCTACAACTTGCCAAAGCTGCTAGCTTCGTTTCCCAAAAGGGAAACAGGCAAATGTGTTCATTCAGAACTTTTTTTGCTGCGACTTACCCTCAAGTTCTGCATTTAATATAAAGGGGGTGAAAAAGATACTTAACCTCTGCATTGCATGTACAACTCGAAGTATTTCAGGCAACATGATGATCACCCACAGATAACATTAAGTGTCACTGAATGTGAGAGAATATGATTATCTCTAAGCCCATAGTGGTTCAGTTTTCATTGCATCGTATTTGCTGGGTGTAGATCATCCACATCTCTCACGTTTTCCTTGGATTGGATAGATATTTTTTTGTTTTATTTTGAGAACAGGGACATAAAGTATTTATGTTTATAAAAGCTAGCAGGGGTGTGGTTTACAGCTCATACCTATGAAAAACACACTAAAAAGCTACAACCGTACTTTACTTTGGTCACAAGTGGTTTGTGACCAGTAATACCTCTGATTAGAATTTGTGCAGCATATAATTGTTACCATAAAAGCTCTGTATTACTGGAATCCAAACCTTGCAGGGGCTCCGGTGGAGGTGTGGGGGAGAAAACGGTCTGTTTCAAAGACGGGTTGGCTTGGACCTTGTCCAGAAGTTTAAACCTTGGTCTCATCAGCGTGGGTGGGAGGGCGCATTCAAAGCCACGCAGACGTGTTTCACGCGGACTTTGAAAGCGCAGAGGGGCCGTAGCAGGGAGCCGGACCACACAGGCTCGGCAAGGCTTTGTTCTCCTGGCTGAATGGCACTGGTGGGAACGCACAGCTGCCAGGCTTCAAGCCGGTGACTGACAGCAGCATTTATTAAAATGTCATCTCCTAATTTTCACGCCGGATATCTGCTGTCGCGTAGACTGACCCGATCTCGCAGGCCAGCGGGAAGGGCCAGAGGACAACCCAACCTGCAGTGGGGAGCAGAGGAGGCGCAGACAGAGGGGAGAAAAGGAGAGAAGCCCTACCTAGCTGTAACAACATAAAGTAAAAAAGGAAGGGGGGGGGGGGGGGGGAACGACACACGGGGGAGGGGAGTGAGCCGTCCTTGTGGCAAGGCTCTTTCCTCCAATCTCCCCAGTCTTTAGTCCCTCACCCACCGCTAACCGTGCTACTTCACCCGCTGTCGCCTCGCTAACTCCGCTTGTAGCCGGGCAGCGAGAGCGGCCAGCTGAAGCCCCCCGGGCCGGGCAGCGAACCTCGCGTTCCGGACACACGGTTCCAGACACCCAGCTCCAGACACGCCGCCGCAGCCATCGGGTCCCCATTCCTCCCCGTGGTGGGCCCGGTGGCACTTGCCGCGCAGAGAGGCCGAAATGAATGCAGCCACTATCTGGGCACAGCCTTATCTCTGGCAGAGAACAAATACGGCGTTAATTGCAGCCTCGCGAAGAAAATTGCTATTGTTTCCAGTCAAAGGCAGGCGACAGTTTGAAAGCGTTTATTCTCGGAGCCCTCTATCAGTTAATCTCCACCGACCGCGGTGCCGAACTGACAGCTCTTGGGGCTGCGACAGTGGGGCGTTGTGCTTTAGGAGAAGGAACAAGGAGATCAAGTGCGGGCGTCCCCCGTCGCTCCCCTCCGCCCCGCCATCCCCGTTTCGTTGGCTCCCTGCCCTGCGCGGGGGCGCAACGCCCCAGCGCTGGGAACGGCAGGCAGAACCTCCCCCTCCCGCGCCCCGCACGCCGAAAACAACGTTTGTGAGACGTGCTGGGCGCCGCGCGAGCAGCCGTGACGCGCGAACCGCGCGGAGGGCGCTAACGCCGGAGCCGGGAGGGTAGCGCCCCACGCACACGCGCACTAGCGCGCGTGCACACGCGCGGAGAGGTGCGCAGGCGCGCGCACGCCACCACCCTCTCTTCCTCCCCCCTCCTTCACCCCAGGAGAGCGGGGCGCGCAGCCATCCCCCGAGCCCAGTGGAGGGGGAGGCGCGCAGGGGGCTCGCGGAGGCGCGCACTCACGCAGCGGCACCCGCGGAGGCTCGGCGCGGCCGGCTGGCGGGCTGGCTCTTACATACAGACACGCGTGCACACGCGCACGCACACACACACGCACACACACACACGCACATACAGAGGCAGCGGCAGAGCCGCGCTCCCGCTCCCTCCGTACTCCTTGCGCGCCCGGCGCTCACACCGCTCCCAGGGATCGGCAGCCGAGGACCCCCCACGCCGCTGCCCGGCCACCGGTGTCTGAAGGGGGAGGAGGAGTGAGGAAAGAAGAATAACTCTATTAGTAACAACAACAACAAAACCCACCAACAAATCTGCACTAGCGCCTTAGTCCTCCTCTCAGACCGTCGCCTGGCTGGCATCGCCGCTCATCGCGCTGCTGTGCGGAGACTTTGTTTCAAGTAAAAAAAAAAAAAAAAAAAGCAAACCAAAAAAAAACCTTCGCTTGCTCAGCCACTTCCATTCCCTCCCCCCGCAGTCTTGCTGGTTTGAGGTGCTTTTTCTTCTTTTCTTTCCCTTCATGTGGCTGGATTTGGTGGATCAGGCGCCAAAGCTGCTTTTTTTCCTCGGTGGGGTGTGTGTGTGGCGTGCGGGGTTTTTCTCGCCGCGTTTTTTATCTTCTGCTGCTTTTTTTCATCTTGGTTTTGAACCTGAGCCGGGGAAAATGGGAAACGGTGCTTCCGACAGAAGGGGAGTCTCTCCATCACTGTTGTTGGGACGTGTGCCTATGGTGCTAGTGTTTTAGAGAAATAGCCTGACAGCTTTCGGAGTGGAAGGTAAGGGTGCCCGGGGCATTTCCATTTCCAGGGATTACGACCGGAGAGCTTTTAGTTTGGGATTCCGGGGAGGAAGTGGCGGAGGAGGGGGACAGGCTGTTGCTGAAGGATAGGGACATACAAAATGATCTCCGCATTTACTTCAGCGCTGCAGTTTAAAAGTTAAGAGAAGTGCGTTTCGCGACAAGTCTGCTTCCCTGAGAGTAATTTCCAGCGAGACCGAGAAAACCTGCGGTTTGGGCAGGATTGGGGTAATTTTAGAGGGGGGGAGTGTGATGATGCTAGGTTAATAGGAAGTTAAAATAAGAGAAGTCAGCGGGTCTTCTGTTGGGGAAAAAAAAAAAATATGTGGAGTGATGGCGCCGTCTATGTTCGGCTAAACTACAGTGTCGCCTAGAAAATCAGTTTGGGGAATATCCAAACTAAACGCCCGTTTGCTTTTGAGCAGAAGAGAATTCTCCCCCTTCCCAAATGGGGAACTTTAAGCCTCTTTGGCCGTTTTTTAACTCTTTCCTCTATGGAAATGGAAAAAAAATCTTTAAGTGCCTAATCCTTTCAGTGAGCAGACTGCTTTAGTATCTAGCTATACTGCAAACTAACCGAAATGCTGCCGGCACGCTCAGTTGGAGTGTGTGTGTGCATCTGTGTGATGCACATGGGAAGAGAGAGATTAAAACAATGCTGTGTTTCTGTAGCCTTGCCTGAACAAATGCACCACTGAAATGAGGGCTATTTGATTATGTTTCTTCATAGAAAAGAGCCTAGCACTGCATACGTCTTTATTTTTCTACTGCAAATATTACACAGGATGAGAAGAAGTCAGAGGCTTTTTTCCTTTTCGAACAGAACAGCAAATAAGCTCCCTTTTTGCTTTCCAGATTGTAAAATTAATCCTTTTTCATGGGTGGAATTCCTAATTTAGACACTTATTGTCACATTGGCTTTCAACGCCTACACCATCCTGAATAACACTGCGCAGAACTGCATTGCCTGCAAAGTGCTCCAGCAAAGGGGAAATTGTTTCCAGAATTCCCAATAAGTTTCTGCTTTTTTCAAACCTTAAATGCTGTACCGAGGCTATTTGGAGACGGAGGACTGTGTTGTTCATTGAGACGGACGCTCGGAAAGGAGGAAATCCGACCGTGTGGATAGACCCATAAGCAGCTCTGCTCTCCCCCCCCCCCCCCCCTTTTTTTTTTTTAAACCTTCACTATAAAGAGGGCTAGAGCTGGTGCTGCTTTGCCCTTTTCAAGATCCAGAGTTCGCATTATAATCTAGGAGATACGGAAATCTCTTCAAGGGAGCTTAATCCAGTGATTTGCTGTGTGTTACGCAATGGGAGACAGAAGATGCCTTGCTGTTTGGTGAGGAGATGAAAAGCTAAGCAAAGACACACATCAAAACTCAGTAACAGTGCCTCTGTGTGTGTGTCTGCCTCTGCTTACAGAGCAACAGTGAAAGAGACTGCAATCTAGAGTTTCGAAATTGGGTTGGCATCACTTCTGTCTGCTTGCATCTAAGAGGAGAAGGTGAAAAGCTTTTCATTTGTAAGAGATAAGCAACTTCTTAAAGTTTAATTCTGAAAACGTTCAATTTGATTTTTTTTTTAATAACGTTACAGAGGTAAATATAACTAAGATTCACTTTATTAACCCAGGCCACTGTTAAAGAGAATAGAGCATGTGGAGGCTGTGGCAGTTGACAGGTGCAGGAAAACAGCTTTATTTGGAGATACTAGCAGAGAAAATGTAATGTAATGTGTCTTTCATCATTCAACTGCATGTCTGCAAAATGCAGGAGCTAATTAGACAGTACAAGATATTTGTAATAAGAGGGCAAGTGCAGTTCAATAGGTGCAGGGATCCTACTGTAGCATTGACAGCTATATAGAGATACTGCTTGTAGGTGCTAATACAGTGGTCCATTTTATTCATCCTTAGGGGTTGAAGCACATTGAAATTAATATCCAAAAAAGCTGACACTTAGTGGTGGTGCCAGACCAGCACTAGTTTCATCCGTCTTTGTTTCTTTCTCCAGTAGCCTCAAAATTTTAGCAATACATTAATCTCAGCATTTCTTGCCTGGGTTTTCTTTTTATAGGGACCAGGTGGCCAGGGTGAGGGCATGTAGGCATATTGGAGATACCCTCCCATCTGCACCAAATAATAATTTGTGTGGTTTTAGTTATGGCTGTAATTCTTCACAGCTACTTCACAGATTTAATAGAAAAATAACACATAACAAGAGATGCCACTGGCTTTCTTGTTCTGTGTTCTGTACCAGTGGAATTCTGCATGTGCGTATTGTATATGCAGATATATGACTATAGCAGGCTACTTATTTACTGTTTGAAGAAAGAAATAAATAAAAAGTCCTTTTATCAGTCTGCGGGGTGAGGCGCCTGGGCTTTTACCTGAGCTGAGCGCTTCTGGTCCTCGCCATGATGACAACAGCCTAGACAGGAGAGGACATTCCTATTAATAATCTAATAGATGTTGGCTTTGTTCAATTTGACTGTAGAGGCCGTGGCTGTTGCGACGGCCACGTGATGGCGCTGCGCTCACGGCACCGGTCCTGGCCCTCGCCTTATAAAATACAAATTACCTGCCCTTCTTTCTGAAAGGGGCTCGAACTGCAAGCTTGAAAACAGCTGGCTCGAATATTGGAATGAGTTTGGTTTTCTATGCGTGAAGAATTCTACTTGCATTTTTATTTCATTTCATCTCCTGCAGGCCAAATGACATAGGATGAAGGCTGTTCGTAATTTGCTGATTTATATATTTTCCACCTATCTACTGGTTATGTTTGGATTTAATGCTGCCCAAGACTTCTGGTGTTCCACGCTGGTGAAGGGGGTCATTTATGGATCGTATTCTGTAAGTGAAATGTTTCCTAAAAACTTCACAAACTGCACTTGGACGCTGGAAAATCCAGATCCGACCAAATATAGTATTTACCTAAAATTTTCCAAAAAGGACTTCAGCTGCTCCAACTTTTCCCTCTTGGCTTATCAGTTTGATCATTTTTCCCATGAAAAAATAAAGGATCTTTTAAAAAATAACCACTCTATAATGCAGCTCTGCGATTCCAAGAATGCTTTTGTATTTCTGCAGTATGATAAGAATTTTATTCAGATACGCCGTGTCTATCCTATCGATTTCCCAGGATTACACAAAAAAGAAGATGACCAAAAATCCTTCTTTGAGTTTTTGGTGTTGAACAAGGTGAGCCCAAGCCAGTTTGGGTGCCATGTGTTATGCACTTGGTTGGAGAGCTGCTTGAAATCTGAGAATGGGAGAACCGAGTCCTGTGGGATCATGTATACAAAATGCACCTGCCCTCAGCATTTGGGAGAATGGGGAATAGACGACCAGTCTCTGGTGTTGCTCAACAACGTTGTGCTGCCCCTCAACGAGCAGACGGAGGGTTGCCTGACCCAGGAGCTGCAAACCACCCAGGTCTGCAACCTCACCAGAGAAGCCAAACGACCACCTAAAGAAGGTAGGTTCTTCCTGGGGGGGTGGGGGGGTGGGTGGTGGTGGTGTGTGTGAGCTAAATCCCACACCAGTGTGTAGGTCCAGCTACCAGCTCTCGTCAATACATTCATTTGACCTGCTCTTCACTCCAACTTGCCTATAGATGAGGTGAAAGGGCTGGAGAAGATGCACTTTTGCTCAGTGCATGGAGGGCTGTATTCCCATTTCTAAACTGGCCTAACCTTCAGTATATAGTTCTGCTGAGCACTGTTGAGGCTCCTCATAAGTAGATCCATCTGTTTTCAGCTCCCACTTACAGTAATGCCCACAGGTGGTGAGACAGGAATCTCTCTCCCCCTCACCACCTCTTTACTGCAACCACCCGACTACAAAATCTTGGCTCTTTTTATATGATCCCTTGGCTTTGCAAGGAAAACGTTTCCAAAGGCATGTGGGCAATCTGACTAAAAGATGAAGGGATTTACCATGGTGAGGACACCTGATTCCAAGTGGGCCAAAGCTCAACAAATCTAAAAAAAAACCCAGAAGCAAATGCAGTTCTTCAGGGTAAACTCTGTACCTAAGATGCCTAGAGACGTAAAGCACTGCACAGTCAGGACATGCTGGGAGCTCTAGAAAGGGGCTACAGGCTGCTGCTGCACCCCTTCTCCAGGCAGCCTTGGCTCCAGGAGGCAAGGCTCTGACTCCCATGGCAGTATTAGTGTGCGGGAGTTGGTGTCTCGGTCTCAGCAGCTGCTTCATGTCCCCACTGGAAAACATGAGGGTTGTAGAAGGGTGGGAAGGCAAAAGGTCCAGCAATTAGGATGGCAGCCATCTGCCTCGCCTCTCTGCTTCATGCCTCCAATTTTGGCCTTCTGACATTTTGGGGAGGTCTGGGAGTGATTTTGGGAAGAACACTGGGGATGGGAGGCAGGGGAAGCATAGGCTGAACCTGTGGGTGAAAAGGTCCTTCAGAGCAGCCATGTGGGAATGGGGGAAGGGGGGGATGTGCCCATGCGGCAAGGGATAAATCATCGAGCCCAGGGTATCGCATTTTAATGCAGGAAATGTTCTCTCTCTCCTTGTTTTCTGCATAGCCACAAAGCTCCCAGTCTGTGGCGAGGCAGTGCCAAGCTCCCAGCCCCCCTAATAGAAGTTGCTTTGTGGAGG